TCAAATCGATCAGTATGAAAAATAAGAGGAAAATTAAAATAGAGGAAACAATAAGATTTAGGAATGTGAAGAATGATAATTAACGCCACGTCAGATGTGGATTACAAAGTTAGGTTAAGGATAAAAATAGGTTCTTATCTGAGCATAGTAGGGACAAGATATAACTGAGAGCTATCGTCTCGGAGTATATCACTGCATGCGCCTGATTGCTTTCATAAACTAATCCTGCGGACCGGCTTTGTATCATCCTTGTGATTCATATCAAATAAGTGTTTGATATAGACGAAGTTAGTATTACGACATTGTAGTACAACAACTACGACTACGACAATGACGACAAAAACTTATTTAGGAAATGTATTTATACAATTTTACAACCAATAGAGACAGCTAACAATATTTGAAATAATTGGTCGTAATAGTCAATAACAAAATGCGTGGGAATGATGATATACCACTTATGCGAGATTAATAGTCATTAAGATAATGAACAATAACAAGGAAATGAATAACACATATGCGAGATTAACAGTCGTTAAGATAATTGAACAATAACAAAGGTTGGATCCTTACGACACTTCTTCACAAAGGCGCTTTACTGTTCAGTTGTATTTCGAGCTATTTAAGTAGATACTCTCACGGACCTTGTGTACAAAGCGAGATCACTCCTCCCTATGTGTGTGGCAACACACATTTAAATTGGTTTACAGTACGAGAAGTCACACAGATACCTGTGCAGTGATGTGGCCTGGAGTGGAGCACGTTTCTGGCTTTTTCAGTAATCGCAGGCCAGAACACATGGTAAGTTAGCAGATGCCCGAATTCGGACTCTCTCAAAATCCTTCTATTCATTTCCCGCTGTCAGATATTTATATGTAGGCTTGTAAACTGACTGGTCCAGAGAATTCAAAGTATGTCCATTTTTAACAAATATATCTGTCAATATTTTAAACTTATCACCTATGGTATCAGCCGTACAAATATTCTGAATCGTCATGAATCGGCACATTTCGGTGCCTTATTTAAGTAAGCCGTCTCCTAATGTGCTTCTTCCATAATTAATTATAGATTAATTCCGCGCTCATATGGTTTGTGGTTGCATCTAAGCCGAAGATTATCCATCAGTAGTTACTAGCGAAGGATGACGATTTGGTCAAGCATTTAAACCTCTGGTGGAACGGTTGCATTCATTAATATTCTTGATATTGGCTTCAATGAGTTGACAGATTATTTGCTGAAGCAGCATCACATTTTTTGAAACAACTCGCTTAACTTAATACTTGCGTAAGACCTCTGAGTGCAATTTTGGACATGGACAACGTTTTCACTTCGATCGAACACGTTTATCGACAGTGTTATTTTTTATACCCTATTGATATCAATGCATTTCATAAACTCTAGTTACCACTGATAGGAAAGAATATGTATGCGCTGTATTTCATAAATTAACGTATTTTTGATGGTCGTAGAATGGTAACTTTCATAAATAAATCACTGGGAATAAATTATTACTACTCTCCTATGATTCTGGTTTTTTGTTAATGCGAAGACAATACATCTGTATTTCCTGATGTGTTGCACTCACTGTCAATCTAGCAGATTTTTCCAACTGTGCACAGAAATGATTGTATATAAGTGAAAAGGCTGTTTTACACTAATGGGATTAAAATTTATCAAGCGTATGCATGTAAAGCATATCTTGCTACCTCCTGTAAATTGTGATTGAATTATATGGTTCTATTTCTGTAACAATTTGACGGTGCCTGTAAACTGGCGTCCCTCATGTACTGTACTATGAGAATAAATTTATTTATTTATTCATTTATTCAGTTTTTGCTCTTTTTGAAGCCTTTTTTATATTTTTGATGACAGCTTGATTCCACACCGTATTTTTGGTAGAAGTATGGAATTTTCAGCATGCGATATCGATAGCCCAAATTTCGCAGGCCGACCATTGATATCAGGTGTGCGTCGGCAGGGTATCGAACCTCGGACCATGTGCATGGTCGGCGAGAGTCATAACCACTATGTGACTGCCATGGAAGTTACTATAATTATTACATCATTCTTCCACCATAGCAAACGGCTAAATGGTGAAAATACTCAGCCGATCATATAAGTGCCATGGTCTTAACACAAACCTTGATGCCCATTAAATTTTGACCAACGTTCCGCAGCTACGATAATCGACTAGTACGACTGGCCATATATACATCTGGAATCATACCATTTCAGAGGGTGTCTACCTCCACGGATAGTACAGTGTATTCTAAAGCAAGATCTTGTACTCACAACTTCCATAGTGTTCGTTCCGCATGGACCAAAGGCAAAGCGAGAAACCAAATTGATTATCCAGAATGCAAAGAATATTTCGGTACCAAATTCGTAATGCGAGGATGATTGCTCATCTACCTAGGGATCGTGCACGAACAACCGAACGTGACACGACAGCGTGCCAAATAACGAGGATGCTTGATAGCTAGCCTTCAGCTAAACAACTCAACTTAAACAGTGACGGTCAGCATCCAATGTTCTGTGATGAATGATGAAGCTAATAATTTGCGGGAATTATCTATCGCTACACTATTACCTCCAAGAAATGGGTGCACAGAATCCAGTTTAGTTTTTCACTGGCTTGTAAAAAAGATGATCGGCATTGTGTTTCTTTTACCACAGCAGCAGATGTTAAGTAATCAGACGTACGTGTTTTTCGAAAAGGCTTTCTGAAGGTCACTACTCACTATCTATTCTCTTGGTTTGTAATGTTATCTACTCGCCTATGACTGCTGGTGTGTTTGTTACAGCTCTAAATTAGGGATCTAATTATAATTACAGATCTATATTTGACAAGAAATATCCCAGGATCACTGGGTGACCTCATATTCTTGGGGGATTAAAAAAAACTGGTGTATGGAGATGAAACAATGTATGCTTGTTTTCATGGTTCGCGCTGCATTATTCCTCTCGCAAACCTCCTCATAGCTGTAGCTGATGATCTGAAATCGTACCCAAATTTCCGAAATAGTCTGTAGTAGGGGAAACCATTGATGAGATTCTAACATAACAAGGTGATTCATTTTTAGGAGTTTCACTAATCAGAATGTAGCTGGAAAGGCGTGTATCTTAATCTCTTAATGTGGGTATATGCTCTTTCGTATGTCAATATTACAAAAATGGAGTGTGAATGGCAAAATAATGGATAAAATGGGTAGGACTTTGAACAAATGTTGAGAAAGGTGTTAAAATGGGTTGAGAGTGGTTTAAAAGTAGTGAAAAGCGATTGTAAGTGTCAGGCAGTTTCGTTTAACCATTTGGGATGTTTTTCTTCGACTACAGATAGTCTGAAGATAATATTGAAGTGCATTTACTTGGTAGAACAACAAGTTGGTGTTTATTAGGATAGCTCAACTTGATGTCGTTTTAGTCGTTTAGTTATATCCCTCAAGTGCGTCAAGCTTCCATTTCCTTAAAACTCCTGTTTTCAGTCCTTGATTATTGTCTATTTATTTCAATGTTAAACAGATGGCTTAACTCGCCATATAGTGCAGTGATATTCTTCCATACTTTTCTGTTTCTATGGTAGTAGAGTACTCTGTATCTAGGAGTAGTGTTTCACCACTGGTATTACACGTGAATGTTGTTAGTTCAGCGAAGTAACATTTAGCGGTTAATGTTTCTATTACTCGTTTTGTCTTTTATTATGTTATTGCACGTGAGTACATACGCAACAATTGTGTTATCTTTTTCTAAGCTACTTACTTAGGAATTTTACTGTAGATATAGGCCAGTCGCCTCTTTATAATTACTAATCTAACCGCAGTTGGCTGGTTTAATTTGTACACATGACTTCACATGCAGTAGAGGGCTGATTGAGGAATTCAAGAAATTTGCACGCTAATGGAAACGTGTGGGTGGTCGACACTTCTCGGTTGCGCACACTAGAAGTTGGTTTGTTTTTGGTTTTTCTGTAAAAAAATGATTAGCCTTGCGTGACTTTTAAGCTCAGGAGACAGTAGCTGTATGCCACTCACACGTGGTTTGCTTGAAGTTGATGGAATCCGGAAAGTTTCATCCATTTGATAAGCCTTGCAGCAGTAGGGTAAGTGAGGATGTATAGTCTTTAAGGATCGTCATCTTGTAGACTATTTTTCTCCAAAGTCGAAAGGTAGGACAGTTGGTCGTAAACAGTTTACTGCTGATACATAAAAAATGAAATGTTACCCAACAACCACTTGCGGTTACATGCAGTTGTCAATGAGCGACATTATTTTGTCTAGGTGGTTAACATAACCTCATACCAGGCAATTCTGTCAACGTTCAGATTCTCGTTTTTATAAGCCACCATTTTCAACTTAGATCTTCGCTTAAAAGTGCAGCAGCTTAAGTTAGCACACTTCATTAAGTACATAAAGGCAGGAAGTGTCACGGAAATGTATGGGAGGAAGAAAAATGATGTGAGTATACCGAGTTCATAAAGAGTGAATTCATCTGTTTGATTGAGGATGATTTTGAGCTATGTCGCTAGTCTCTAACCGTTAGTTCTGGCGTTTTTTGACCTAACTCAGGTTGTCTATACCATTACACACGGCTCACACTAACGGTCAAAGACCTCATGGATTGATTCCAACTCTTGAGATGACCACCCTTAACTCTTTTCCAAACTTATCCTATTTCAGATGACATTGTTCGACGTGGAAGAGGATGGCTTAGCATTCACAATACGTGCCCTAGCCACCTCAGCTGATACAGTTTTGTAACATCAATGGTCTATGTTCTCTCATAAGCCTATGCTTAATATTTCTCATCATATTACACCATATCACAGGATATGGAACTCAGACACCTATAGTCAAAGACAGCTAGTCTGTTCACATCTCCCGCTTTCAGTGGCCATGTTTCAGACATTAGGGCTAACTGCTGCGCAGTACTTATATCCTTTGATCGATACCTGGATAACAGGTCTATGCCAGAGGTAGCAAATGATGTATCAGACTTTTATATCCCACAGGAGATCTTGTAAACAATCAGTCCATTAGGGCTGATACAACTTCCCTAACAAGTGAAGTAGTTAACACACTCAACTACTTAACTCCCTATCCTTAAATTGTGAGTCCGTACAGAGTAATCCTGCAGCATCATCTTACATTTGCCAAGGGCGAATTGCATGTCAAACAAAGATTTCTGCTCAAGGTATTAGGAAGACTTCAATCTATAAAGACTATCATCTGCAATCTGATAACAAATCACTCCCTAATTCTCCCAAGTTCATCGAAGTCACATTCGTTAATATATATGTGATGAAAATTTAAAAAATGGGGCCAGCAGGTATCCCTGACAGACACAACTGGTTCTCATCACTTCACAGTGTAATCACAGTTTTGCCATCGTGATAGTCCAAACCTAATTATGATAAATGTTTTATGGTTTAAGGAAGTGGTAAAGAACAACAAACCATCAGTATTTGCTGTATTTCGGAAACCGCTATAAAACTCACATATTTGTATTTCTTTGAAACTCCAGGTAAATTCATTTTTTGGTTTGTATTGCTTACCCTTTTAATGGAGTTCTTTTTCTATTTTTCCTAGTTGGTTATAACACTGTCTACTGGCTTCCTTTACCTGTGTTGTATATGACATAATGGAACAACCACTTATCTATATGGCTATGGACAATGCGAAAGTTATAATCAATTTGCTAAAAGCAGTTCACTTCCGTGATGTATGTTTGAATAATTAAACTACTTTTACCGCTTAGCTTGCTACTATATTTGCAACAAATAATGGTATCAAAGTGACTGTTGAAGACTCAAAGTGTATTCAAGGAAACGCATTTCTCCATTCAGCACTTTTTCGGGAGTATTCCGTGAAAAAGGATATCGTATCGTTTAGAACAAACCTTGGTATACTCATTGTATGTAGTTTAATACTTCTGAAAAGCGCGTTATAGGACTGTTTATCTATCTTTGGAACGTCGGTTCAAGGATCTCCTGTGTCACTCATTATGTCATATAAAACACATGGCAGTACAGTGGACTTGTTGTAAGTTTTTTTTCTCAATAATTTTTTGTATAGGTTAGAAGAAAATGCGGTTGTGGCAGAATGCAATATCAAGACTATGGAGGCGTTTGAGATACTTGACTTTGATTTCTCTAGCAGTAATATCGCAGATAAATTCATAATGAAGGTTAGTCTTTATATTAATTAAAAGTTTACCACCATACAAACCTTGGATTTTGGATGTCGCTATGAAAATTATTATCCACCAACTTCTTGTGTCTTAAATATCAGGTCATTACATCTTGAAATGACATAGTCCTAATCTTTTGAAGTTTTTCCCATTTAAGAAGTTTTTTACACAAGATTTTTGAGTATATTTATAACTGTGCAATTGCGTTACCTTTGGAGTTTAGACTACTGTCATCATTTGACTGTTATTATTATTATAAGTTGAAGCGATGCTTAATAGTAACCATTTAAAATGAAACTATCTTACTTGCGTAAATACTCGACCTCTAACATGTTGGCGAGTAGATCGTGTTCCCCTAACTAAAGTCATAACAGCCAAGTAATGTTATCCCATCTCAACCGAAAAATCCTGCCTAAACAGAATAGCGAAAGGAGTGCACAGAAAGGTAGATGAAATCTAACTGGTGCAATTAGTGCACTTACTGGATGAATGCTGTTAGAGACTCTTCCATCGCTTTTTAGGAGACGGATAAGTGTACTTTCTTTTTTTTACAACATAAGACTTATGGATGCGTACTTTAATCCCTGAACTAAAGATCTATCGTGGAGACTTCCTCAGTGCTTATTTATCCAACTGATTTTTCTCAATAACTTTCTTAACATCATCATTTAGTTGATACTGAAGTTTTCATATCGTCCATAAAATCCGCAGAATTCACTATCCTTATTTATCAGACGAAATAAACGAATTAAAATGGCAATTCAGTAGTTATGAACTGTGGGTGACATGACAGCTGAATATGTTACTGAATATTGCGATATTGGTTGAAAGTGTGCGATATTATGTGCCAGTAGCCTATGTTATTATTTGTAGATCTTCCATCAGTTCAGTTTATCGTTACTTTATATGTGCTGTTCACTATTTGAACACTAGCGGTTACTAACAAAACAATCAATCATTTATCAGAAGCAACTAATTAATAATGAACATTTGAGATTATTGATATTATGGTTGGAAGTTTCTAAACTTCACTTTTCATTTCTGCCGTTATTTGGTGAGAATATTCTTATTGAAGAGTTTGGGGTTTCATTTGAACCCATGAAATAATATGTTCAATGCTGTAATTTAATGAGTGTAAAATTTACATACACGCAATATATTACTGCATAAGGAAAGTCATTTCCACGGTCAGCCATCTTTTCTTGATATATATATATATATATATATAGCACAGTTAAATGGGACATAATACATTAAGCCTATTATTATTATTATTATTATTATTATTATTACATTTATCCCAGTCATCTTGGTCACTTTAAGCAGAGGATTGTTATTTTACTTTCATTATTTATTTATTTATCTTGTGCCTATTTTTCAAGAGGCTGATTTACTCCTGTCATTTACACTTCGTAATTCTTACAGTCAGACTGTATGCGTGAAGCATTCAACGAATTAGATACTTCAAGTGAGATTTTGGAGGTTGCTATAATACCACCTCCAGCAATTCAACCCCGTCTTCGCTTAACTACTTACGGTTTTGCTGGGACTATGCATTTCGATTTGCCTCGGTCGTCTGATCAAGTGGAGGTGTTTGAATCTAGCACTGCAAGTCCTAGGATAGCTCGCTTTCGTCTTTCACTGTTACGACCTGCAACAAATCGAGCTTTGTCAATGGCCAGTCGTATTTCTCTGCGTATCAATGATCGTGGTTTTCTGTCCATTCAATATATGATAAACGTTTCAGACAATGAGGTTGCTTTTGTGGAGTTTTTCGTAAGTGTTTTTTAACGATGTCACTTTTTCTCATTATCATGCAATTTTGTTTCCCCCACTTCTAAGTAGTAGGTCAGTAAAATCCCTACTGCAAAACAAGTTATTTGGAAATTTCATCATGGGTTTTTTGTCGATAAGTGGGTTTTATCACAAAATCTATGTCACGACATATAACATCTGTGCACTAAAAGCGATGGTTTTCAAAAGCGTACAAAAAGTGAAAACAATAAAATCAGAATATAAAATATTTCCGTACAAAAGAAAATACATAGCATACAAACAAATTTGGTATCACACTATGGTGAAACCAAATCTAAAGAGCATCATTTGGAGTGCGGAACCATAGGGTCGGTTTTCATGTAAGCTGTCGTCAGACAACCTACACTTGTTTACACAGCTCACTCTAATAGTCACTGACTTCATGGATTGTTGTCGTATCTTGGTATGACTACTCTTCGTTTCCTTCCAATATAATTTTACTCTTAATAACAGCACACTGACACAGTCAGTGGGTGGGAGTATAATATACACTCCAGCCACCTCAGTTTGTGGCGATTTGTAAGTTCATCAACTGACTCACCTTCTATGTTGACAGTTCTGCCAAACGTAAACGATAGTAGGAAGGGAGCGGTTGTAAAATCTCAAACACATATAGTAGGGCAGTGAATCACTGTACAGTATATTTAGCTTCTAATGGAGAATTGAATATCTTAACTCAAGTGGTGTATTTTGGTTCAGTCTGTGATTAGATAGTTGGCAACTGACGAGTAGTGGGTCTGCAGTTGTGCTACTGTTTTCTACCATCCGATTTCAGGCTGAGTGGGATATAGATATCCTTCCTACAACTCATTCATTGTCATCTTACACATTTATTCGTTTTCATTCAATGAGTTAAACTGTTCCTCCGTGTTATGCTTATTTTTCTACTCACTTTTTTTGTTACTTCATTACTATTGACTATAGATCAAAGTATCAGTTAGTCCCTAGTTCGTCAACAATACACTCTCTGATTGACCTCAACATTTGTTTACTATTATTTGTCGTTACTGCACTGTTTATCTCCTTAGCTTTCATCGACCACCACTTCTCATTATAACTGCGAAAACTTTGTTGGTGTACATTCAAGTTTCACTTCTCATTTGTATTCAGATTTTGAGAGAATTTGTTTGTGTGCATCTTTTTGTTTTGTAGACATTTTTGAGATCCACCGACCCTTTCCAAGATGTTTTCAGAGGATTGGAAGCAGTAACTTTTTCTATTTTTGTGTTTCTTATTCCTTTGCGTTTCGAGTGGAACATACAACTTCAAGCTTAACCTTTGAAGTTGCAGTAGCGGTTGGAGTTGTTTTATAGGATGGGGTTGCTAGCCTCACACTAAGCCTTCCGTCTTTACCAGGCTTACTACTGGCTAAGCGAAGTTTGGAAGTGTGTCACCCAGTAGTCGAATCCGGACCACTTGCGTGGTTGACTAACATTCTACCACTGAACCACAGATGCGCATCGCTGGTGGTGGTAGGGAAGTTTGGTTATGTGAAAGGCAAGGTTGCAGACTAGGAGAAATACAAGGCTTCTTCAGCAGAGGTACTCTGCTAATTGTTGGTCAATTCCTCTTTAAATGAAGCTCCAATATTTTTATAATCGAGCTAATCTATGAGGGATCTTCTGTTTCTTGTCTTTTTACGTCCATTAAAACTGACTATATCATCATATAAATTAATCTGATAGTAATTAAAGACAATATATTATATTTCAGTCTAGTATTTATTTAAGTTTGGTGGTCCCCACATAAAAATCCTTCTCTTCACTAGGTAGGGGCAGGTGACTTCCTTACCACAATTGTAGCAAGCGATTACCATATTTGGTTGACTGATTGTAGCCAACATTAGAGATGTGGCTCACTAGCTGAAGCGGTTCCTCGGTTCTAATTCCGTTCTATTTACTTCAACATGGACTACTAGCCCTCAAAAAACGCGTGGCTTTTGTCCTGGTAGATGAAAACTCTGCTCCATGTAACTGAGTTCAGACAGTGAGTGGTCAACAAATGAAATTATATGAAGAAAAAGGAATATTTTCTCACTTTCTTAACCGTCGTCTTAGTGGACATTCGGCTCTTTCATTGATTGAATATTATACTTGAATGACATCATGCAGAAATCTACTCAGACTTCATTCCACCAGCATTTGTGAGGTTGTGGGTTTTTGCTAATTTTTTGCTGTCAGTCCCCTAACGTTTAATTTTTGTGATTTTGTGTTTCCTGGATCGTATAGTTTAATTGTGTGGCTTCCATTGCCCTTCTAGACAATATCTTCAGAGTTGATTTCACAGTGGGGAACCCGCCAACACCGAAAACGTTCACTTGAGCTGAACATTTCCCCCACCAAAATCTTGTGTACGGAATACGCTGATGTTTATTCGAGTGTTGAATACTGACTGCTAAGACTTGAAAACAAAGCTGAAAGTTATGACATGATATGAATTAACTTATACGAATTGAAAAATACTTATTACTGTATTCGAGAAATGGTGTCAATAATGCATTATCTAGCAGTGGTGTCATACATAATACACTTATACTAAACTAGTGGTTTTTCCAATAATGATGGTGAATTCTATTTTCATTTAAATGCAGGCAACTGTATCATCAAGATGTATCATCAAATATTCGTCCAATGCATGAGTTTTTGGGAAATATAATTATGTTGTCAGAAAATTGATCTGCCTTTATTTCAATTCGAATTTATACGATTGACACAGTGATATTTTTCTCCTCTGAAGTTTTTAGCTATAGTCACTGCTCCTTACTGTCATTACACATATTCTTGATTGTAATAATCATCAGGACTGCTTTTTATAAGCTCTTTTAATATTCTTGTTGTCAGTTGGACTGATAATATCAGTGGTGAAGCTAATTTTATCATAAATTGAATTACGATATTACTGGTTTCCTGTTTAGTGTTTTAGCAATGTCTGCCCAGTTTACAGCGTTGATAAAATGCAAAACGCGTGAAGATACTGTTCTTATGCAGATAAAAGAATCAATAATATGTATTATTAATTAGATGAATTCTGTCTTCATAACTGTTGTAATACTAATTACTGCGTTTTAGAAAAGGTTTTCTAATGTTATTTCTCCTTTTATCTTCTAATCTTTTTTGTCCCTCGTAGCGTACTAATTTCAAATAAATCCTTTCCTTTATATTCTGTATTAAAACAATCACGATTTCCTTCATAATTTAATCTTCACTCTTGCAATTGATTGTTTTTGTTTTCTGCTTCATTCTTTCCTGGACTCTGTTTTACCTGCGGCTGTGAATATTATCAGCTCGGTTATTGGTGTATCTATAAGCATCCTGTACACAGATACCTGTTTGTGGCACAGAGGTAGAATGCTCGCCATCCACGTATGTGGTTCGTGGTTCGGTCCCCGGCCAGTATTAAGACTGGTTAAGAGGGAAGGTTGAGCATGAGGCTAGCAACCCCATCCTGTAAAATAAACACTGCTACAGAAACTTCAAGCCACTAGCTTGAGGCCCTATGTTCCACTGGGGAACGTGAAGGAAAAAACAAATAAGCATCCTAGTGAACAGTTGTTAACAGATGCCTTTATTCATATAAATAACTGGTTGGAGCACAACTCAATGGGGATATTGTATGATGAGGATTCTGTGCCGTATGCTAAAATATTGTTTAAAACGAAATTATTACTTTGAATAGAGCTAAGACAGCAGTTTGTGCAAGATAAGATAGTACTATCGTTTATTTCGTCGACTTCTCATCTTCTGCGTACAGCCTGAAAATTAATTAAGTTTACAGAATAATTTTGACGTATTATTATTACCGTTAGTAGTAGTAGTATAGTAAAACTAATACTTGTACAACTATGACGTCAAATCAATACTCTAGCCATTAGGTGTTGTCAAGGATCACTGTAACCGGAAATTACATGGGGTATTTTCTAATGTTAATTATTCAAACTGGAATATAAATAATCCTTATCGTCAAACACTTCAGTAATGTGCGTAACGTCTCTCGTTGACTGTTTGGCGTATATATATTTTATTGATGATTTTCCCCTCATTTTACAGTGTGTTCCAGATGTGGATGAGACCGAAGAGCAATCAGAATCTCAAACAAGCATGAATACTGAACAATATGAAGCTACAAAATCCAACAGAACGGCTCAGATTCCATCGACATCGAAGTGTCCAGTTAATACGTTGGATCCTGACTGGAGTGACTGACAATTGTAGTTTTTGTTTTCCTGATATCTTTTTGTACAAAGAAGTAAAGATCTACACATTAAAAAAACGTTGTCTCGGATACATATCTTCTGCATCTCTTTTTAAATATGAACTCTTAATTTTAAAACATTCTCTAAAACATTTGGTGTAACTATTCTACTATTTTAATAAAATTATTCTTGACTAACTTTCAGATCTATAAATTTCTTCGCAATACTAAATCTTTCTTAATTTTAATTTCAAATGATCTTAAAATGTTTTTTTTATTCGAAAAAGTAGTTCAGTGATTTTCACATCTAACTGCTGACAAGTAGCTTTGAGGAAGAGAATTGTTGTTCAAGATGTCCATCATAACTCTGACATCAGTCGATTTCGTACTTCTTTAATTAGTAAGCGGTTGTGCAATTCACGAGGTTTACTGAAAATTAAATACTAATTTGTAATCACTGAGATGTCATCCAGAAGCGTCGTGTAATGGCTTTTGATAGCACGGGTTCGTGAACATGATTATGAAAGTTGCATTTATTTTACTTAACCTTATTTGGCGGATGGTAGTAGTTGAAGCGAATTCTAATAATGTAAGTAAGCATTGTCTTCATAGTGGAGAGAAAATGAGAACAGCCTCAAGCCTTCAACTAAGTTTGTGTTAATTCATTCATTTCTCTAAATTCCTCAGACTACCAGATTGTGGGTTCTTCTCTAGGACCCCTCCCGGCCGACTGCTTTGTGGTTAGCCTAGAAAACGACTCCTTATCATCAATTGATATAAGAATAAAACTTGTGCACTGTGGTAGAGTATTTTTGATAAAGTCTCACAGTGTTATACAGTAATATTTACTGATGACCACGTTTCGAGCACAATTTATTGCTCATAATCATATCAAGGTACTCACACGACTTTCTAACTTCGTTTATATGGTTCCATCGCTTGATTTGATTGGTAGTAGTATTTTCCATATTTCCTGTATGAATGATGAGTCATTCCTATTGCACGTGTTGGATGTAGACTGGATGAACAAGGATTCAGTAATCAACCTGTCTCTCCACCTACCTATATTACTTTTTAGAATTTTAACTCTCTCCCACCCTACTGTGTGGTTGTGTGTTAATGCATGCAGTGCAATTGCTGAGATTTTTTCTAAATTACTCACCTTCGTGGGGTCAGTCATTCTAATCTTGGCTAAATTCTTATGTTCCGACAATCTGACTTAACTCATAGTCACTGTAAGGTATTGTGTAAATTATATTATTTTATCTAATTGAGTCAACCGACAGGGTCCTTTAACCTACATAGTTTGTCCCTGAGTGAGTTTGTAGGTTTGAATGCCACTCTAATTCCTGCTTTATTAAGAATCCTACGTAGGGTCTCAGATGTCGCCTCCTTATATGGTATAACAGTAGATGTCTTATATTCTCCCTTATTTATGTTATCACTACTAGTTTCACAATTATTTTTATTTTGCTTTTGGCCTTTTCTGATCTTCGTAATGAATTTTATAGGATAGTTATTTGATACCAACGCTTCTTCTCTCTGTTTTATTTCATCATTTAGGTCTTTTCTTGAACTACTTAGTGCTACTGCTCGGTTTGTTAGACATTTAACTAAGCCTGCCTTAACAGTTAGGGGGTGAGATGAATTAAAGTCTAAATATCTATTAGAATGCGTTGGCATTTTATTAACGCTAGTGTGCAGTTTACCTTCTTCAATTCGTTTTATTTTACAATCCAACATAGCTAATTCTCCTTGTTCATTTTCCGATTCAAATGTGAATTTTATTCCCTCTACTAGTGAGTTTATATGTGTCATATATCACCATATTTTTGGAGTAGGGTTAAATGTATTTAGAGCAATATTTTCCCAGCTATCCATAAATATATCTGGTACGATAGGGGATATTGGTTATCTCATTGCTACACCTTCTGTTTGTCTATATATTTTGCCTTGGAATTTAAAGATAGTAGATGTGAGACATAACTGAATTCCTAAAATAATTTCCTCAATGGGCAACTTCGTCCTATGAGTGAGTTCAAGATCTGCAGTTAGTTCTTTTTTAACTGCTTCTAAGGCCATATTGATTGGTATATTAGTATAAAGACTAGTTATATCAAAACTAACCATTGTTTCATCATTCTCTAGTTGAATGTCATTTAGTTTATTTTCCATCTCATATGAATTCGTTAGTCTAGAGTTTGGACGATTTCTAATGGGGCATAATGCCCCATTGGAAATCCGGAAGATTTGCAATGAGAGTCAACCGACGAAGGATTGCCAAATCTCTGAGGGAACTTAATAGAAAATGGATTTTTCACCCAAATTCATAGACAAGAATCGAAAACCAAAGAAAACACCTGAAAAGGTCCAAGTCGCCCCCGAAAAGATGTTGATATTGAACCTCGAGTCTAAAAGCGATACTGAAGCAGATCTTCTCCGCAGACGGCTTTCGAAGCCTCTCACTTTAACATAGTTCGCCGCCAGCCTACGAATAACATTCTCCCGCAAGAAACTACTCACCCAGCACGTGAATGACAAGCTGTCGCATTGAGCCGCTTCAACATGTGTATACAGGTTTACTTGCTCGTGTGGAGCCGAGTACATTGGCCGTACCATACGTCCGCTTGTAAAACCCACCCGGGAATACTATCCAGCATGGTTAGTAAAGGGAGAACACAAAGGGGTATACAGTTCGATAACAGAACATCTGGTGAATTCTGGACATTCAGCACCATTTGAAAAGTCGTTCAAAGCCATGCACAAGACCCAATCAAGCCTACCAAAGGGAGTGAAATCACAACATCTAGGAATGGCTGAGGCACTGGCGGTCCAAAGCTCAAGCCTACTCTATGTGTTTAAAAGAAGTACGTCCAACCGTTGTTCCTACCGTGGCCATCATACAAAGTCAGTCTCACCAATAATAGATTATCCAGTTACCTTTCTTGTCCAACCTTCCCGTTTATTCGTTATATTTACGTTTTTAATCCCTAACTGCAGTACTAGATTTGGTTGCTGATTTTTTATTTTTATATGTCCGAACCTCCTACCTATTTTGTTAATACTACGTCCTTAATCCGTAATTATACAAACTGATGAGTTTTCCAGTAATTATAATCTTATTTTGTCTTTTCTAACCGATCTTCCTGATTATTATGCATTGTAATTTTTTATTTGACTTTGACTTGAAATTCTAGATAGTTTTTTATTACACTTATATTATTAATTAGACCTTTGATCTGAAATAATTCTGGTACTTTTGTTCACTTTTACTCACTATACATATAATAGGTTATCGAATTGTAATGAGAGGCAGTATGTATCGGATTAACTGCTCATTAAGATAGTTGAAAAATAGACAAATTACCATCTCTGACTACTGCCAATTGTATTTTTCTGTTCTTACGTATGTGTTAATACACTTACATTTGAGAGACAAAAGCACAGTTCTTATTCGCATTTTTGTACATATTCCTAAAATTTTGAAAGCTAAAGCTTTACTGGTCCACACGTCATCTACTGGAGAAGATTTAGATTTATTGAAATTTTATGAGATGAATAGTAAGCAAAACAAACCTAGTCTTTTCTAGTTCTCTGAGGTTGTTATCATCAAAATTAGTGGCACCTAATCTTTGTGTTCAAAAAGTTATCATCAAACTTTGACGGCCATCTTGAGATTAAAATACTCTGAATATTTCAGATATTCACGTTTCATGTCACTTTGTTTCCTCATTTTGAAATCTGTCGTTTATTTTATGAGTTCTACTTGTCATTAAGCTAACTTATCACGCTCTGTTGAACGACTCTGTTACGCTTTCGCAATCCACAGAATTTGATAGTTTCTCTTTCAACGTGTGCTGCCGCTTCTAGAATATTCATTTTAACATTTTGGTACATAGTTAACCTTTTGACTGGTGTTCAGAGTTTCATCGTGTTCGTTTTGATCATGTTACCTGCCGCAACTACAACATATTAGTCAGTTTTATAAAAGCACATTTCACATTTTATGGAATAAATAAATGAAAATAATGCAGCAGTTGTCATATTTTTCTATGTATATATGTATGTTTATAATATTCCATGGCTAACACATGAATGGTCAACATTTATTGTAAGTGTAGCTTTTGTCGACTCTTGGTTAGCATATCATCAGGTCAATTGAAGTCAGGTACAACTACAAGTTACTTCTGTCCTGATTTTACAGGTGACATACCAAGCACTCGATTTTAAACAGTACTTTGCAATCACTTACTGTAGAAATTGGAATAATTATAATCTGCTATTGTCTGCAACATTTCACTTTTATTACCTTTTGTCAGATAGTGAAGTCAAAGTGAAATTTTTCCCAACAATCTGATAAGTCAGAAGGTACTAGGTAGCGTCTGGGAATCAGAGACGGTTCCATCAGACTGGGGTAAGTCACTTATTATACCAATATTCAAGAAGGAAGACAAGTCCTCATGTGATAATCATAGAGGAATCAGCCTGACGAACATGGTCTCTAAAATCCTAGGCTCAGTAATCATGCACAGACTAAGCCGAACTCGGGAGGAACAAACAAGGGAAAATCAAGCAGGCTTTAGGCCAGGTAGAGGGTGCATAGATCATATGTTCACTCTTCGACAGATCCTACAACATAGACACACTTTTAGGCGTCCAACAATTGCCATATTTCTTGACTTGAAGGCGGCCTTCGACTCTGTGGATTGAGAGGTACTATGGCAATGTTTGACTGTGAAGGGAGTGCCAAGAAAGTACATTGCACTAATCAACGCACTCTACTCAAACTCACGTAGCCGTGTAAGGGCTTATGGGGAATTGTCATCTGAATTGTTAACAACCAGTGGTGTCCGTCAAGGATGTCCACTTTCCCCTTTTCTGTTTAACTTCATCATAGATATGCTAATGGAAGTATCCTTAACTGAACTTAACGACTTAGGAATCGACCTGTTACCAGGGAATAGTCTTATGGACTTAGAATATGCAGATGACATAGTCCTGTTAGGGGAGGACGGTGACAAAATGCAGAGCCTTCTGAACACCTTGAACAACAACCTTCCTATGTTTGGCATGCGGTTCGCCCCTGTAAAATGTAAGATGCTGCTACAGGACTGGACTACGTCTACCCCTAGCTTAGTGA